AGCAGTAGTAGTGGTAGCAGTGCCCGTACAGTAGTAATAGTAGCGGTAGCAGGAGTAGCACGAGTAGCAGCACAATAGTAGTAGTAGTACCAGTATAGTAGTAGTAGTAGTAGCGATAGCAGGAGTAGCAGTACCAATACAGTAGTAGTAGCAGTAGTACAGTAGTAGTAGTAGTAGCAGTAGCGGGATTTTATGACTGTAACGTGTTGCAGGAGGTTGTAGTGCTAACTTTCCGTCGCAGGATTTTAAAACTGTAACGTGCTGCAGAAGGTCACAGCCCTTATTCCTGTTACGGTATTGCAATTTCTGCAGCAGAGGTATCAGTAGCAGTAGCAGCAGTAGTAGCAGGATATAGTCTCAAATCCTGTTGCTGCATCGGGAGACCTGCTCTCGCAGGATTTAAGGTTGTAGGTTGTTGCAGCGTGATAAAGTCCTAAATCCTGTTGCGGCAACATAAAGGCCTCTATGTTGTAACTGCCGAGCGTTGGGGACTTCAAACTGCTGCTATACGTTTCCGTCCTGAATCTTGCCCCTACAAGTTATAGTGCTATATCCTACAGCAGCAGCATATAGGGCTATAACTTGCTGTCGCAGGATTTAGGGCTGTGATATGCTGCAGCATGATACAGTCCCAAATCCTGTTGCTGCATCGGGAGACCTCCTCTCGCAGGATTTAAGGCTGTAGCCTGCTGCAGCGTGATAAAGTCCTAAATCCTGTTGCGGCAACATAAAGTCCTCTATGTTGTACTTGCAGAGCATTTGGGACTTCAAACTGCTGCTACACATTTCAGTCTTGAAGCCTGCCCCTGCAAGTTATAGTGCTATATCCTGCAGCAGCAGCATATAGGGCTATAACTTGTTGTCGCAGGATTTAGGGTTGTGACATGCTGCAGCATGATACAGTCCCAAATCCTCTTGCTGCATCGAGAGACCTGCTCTCGTGGGATTTCTGGTTGTAGCCTGTTGCAGCGTGATAAAGTCCTAAATCATGTTGGGGCAACTTCTAGGCCTATATGTTGTAACTGCGGAGCATTTGGGACTGTAAACTGCTGCTACACGTTTCAGTCATGAATCCTGCCGGCAAGTTATACTGCTATATCCTGCAGCAGCAGCATATAGGGCTATAACTTGTTGTCGCAGGATTTAGGGCTGTGACATGCTGCAGCAGGCTACAGTCCCAAATCCTCTTGCTGCATCGGGCGACCTGCTCTCGCGGGATTTCTGGCTGTATCCTGCTGCAGCGTGATAAAGTCCTCAATCCTGTTGCTGCATCGGGAGACCTGCTCTCGTAGGATTTAAGGCTGTAGCCTGCTGCAGCATGATAAAGTCCTAACTCCTGTTGCGGCAACATAAAGGCCTCTATGTTGTAACTGAAGAGCATTTGGGACTGCAAACTGCTGCTACACGTTTCAGTCCTGAATCCTGCCCCTACAAGTTATAGTGCTATATCCTGCAGTAGCAGCATATAAGTCTATAACTTGCTGTCGCAGGATTTAGGGCTGTGACATGTTACAACATAATACAGTCCCAAATCCTCTTGCTGCATCGGGAAACCTGCTCTTGCGGGATTTCTGGTTGTAGCCTGCTGCAGCGTGATAAAGTCCTGAATCCTGTTGGGGCAACTTCTAGGCCTATATGTTGTAACTACGGAGCATTTAGGACTGTAAACTGCTGCTACACGTTTCAGTCCTGAATCCTGTCGCGGCAAGTTATAGTGCTATATCCTGCAACAACAGCATATAGGGCTATAACTTGTTGTTGCAGGATTTAGGGTTGTGACATGCTGTAGCAGGATACAGTCCCAAATCTTGTTGCTGCATTGGGAGTCCTGTATGTTGTAACTTCCCGAAATTGATTGCTTCCATGTTACCTATTCTTTGTTATTTCGGTGTTTGATGATGTGGGCATGGTTCTGTCTGTGCGCAGCCATTCATCGAAGCGCTCGGGAATCACTTGGCGCCCTCCATTGAGGATCGTGTTCTTCCTTTCAAAGAAGCGTTCGACAATCTCAGAATGAAAACGCCTTCGGCGTCGAAGAAGATCGGCTCCAAAGCGCAGCAGATGCGTCCGCAGAACGTCGCTTTGCCTCACACTTGCGTCGACTCGACTGGCGTTTTGAAGCGTGGCTCCGGGACAAAGGCCAAGTCTGCGAAGCAAAAGGCTCTCGCAACTAAAAAGAGTGAAAAAGAGTATGCAAAGGGGAAGGAGAAGGTGAAAGACAAGCAAGAAGAAATCCAAGTGCCTCAGGGTTTTGTGCCTGGAGAACGGACGGAGGAATTAACCAAAGTTTGGGAGGAGCTGAAGAGCTTGAACGCTAAGAAAATCTCCAACGAGTCCTTCTATCTGTCGATGAGTTGCATGGAAAGACCGCCCTTGGATGCCAAAGGGAAAAGACCATTAGAGGTAAGAGAGCCTGACGAGGATCATATCAGTCTGCTAATGGATTCCATGATCAGGCAACCAGTTGGAGATCATCTTCCATTCGTCGGTCTTGTGGACCCTAGGGAGGCAAAGGACAAACGAGCCGTAAATTTGGACAAGCTTAGGGCTGGAAAGTACCGCTTTTTTATTCTTGGCGGTGACCATTGTCGGGAGGCAAGGGAGCGTCGCATGGCGATGTACCCTGACAACGAAGAGTACAAGTTCAACGCCTGCTATGTTTATGCAGGCTTGACGGTGGATGAGGCACGGCAGGTCGCTCACATGCATAACCTCGCCGCCGACTACCATCGCGATATAAACTTCATCGAGAAGATGAAGTGTTGGCGGCAAGTCTTTGAAAGCAAAGGGTCTGTTAAGTCGCAGGAGGTGAAATTGGCGTGCCTTCGGGAAGCATGTGTTCCAAACCCTTCATTGAAACTGGGGAACAATGATCCTCTACTGCAAGTTGCAATGCGGCCAAAAGAAATTTGGGACTTGCAACTGCGGATTTTCAACATGTGGCAAAGAGGGGAGGTAAAGGGTCAGAAGTTGAAGCCCGCGGCAAAGAGTCAGATCAAACATGAAGCTGGCCCTGAATCAAGTGAATCTGAGGGTGGGAAGAGAAGCCAACGAGGGCAGAGGCTTGACAGGGCAGCTGCTAAGCTACAAGAGATGGCGCTCTTGAATCCTTGGGTCCAGTTCAAGGACAATAAAGTTGTCCTTGTGCCTGAGGACATGCCTGCCCAGCCGTGGATCACCATGGGTAACATGGCTCCTGAGAATGTTGTTCCCATTCTTCTCGAAGTCATTTCGAAGACCATCTCCATCAAAGAAATGGAGCAGAAATTCAGGGTGGTCAAGAAACTAAACTATGTCTGCAAGGCCTTTGCAGACGGTGTCGACTGCAAAGAGTTCAAGGAGGCGGAGCAGAAATATCCTTTGCACACGAAGAAGGAAGTCCTGGAAAAGTACATTGGCAGCTTCGAGAAGCGTGGGAGTACACCTACTGCTCTGAAGGACCACATCGTACGAGCAAAGGAGTGGAGAAAGAAGGAGGAGAGATTAATGGCCAAGGAGGCACAAAGAGCTAGTCTTCTGGCGTTTCGAGCGCAACCTCTACCGTAGCCTTTTGCTGATTGGACGGAGGTGAAACACGAGGGGGATGCAGGGGAAGTCAAGATAATCTGGGGCGACATGCGCCATCTATCAACGCTGCAGAAGGAAAAGCTCCCGATATCGCTCGCCATTTTCGACTTTCCTTACGGGTTTGCGCACAAAGGTCATGCACGGGACACAGAGCCATTTGCAGAGACTGGTGTTGTTGAGGTGCTGCAGAACGTCAAGGGCGTTTCCAGTGCTCCCTTGTGGACGGTCGCAGACTTTTGTTCTGTAGACATGCTCCCATCGATTCGATCTGCGTTTCAAAAGGTTTGCAATGCAGGCCACGAACTGCTGACTTGGTGCAAACCTAATGTTATGAATCCGGGAGGTCCTCGCCTTGTCAGCGCGACCTAGTTCTGCGTCTTGGGGTACTACAGTGAGAGCAGCGAACGCAAAATGGCCCATTACAATTTCGCCCCCACCGACCCGCGTCAACCCCAGCGATCTGGCAGTACTGTGCCCGTATCAGAAGCCCTTTGCATTGTACTCGTGGTTGGTGAACAAGTTTTCACCTGTTGGTGCCTTAGTTTTGGACGGCTTTTCTGGATCGGGTACAGGTGCCATTGCCTGCGTCAAAGCAAATCGAAATTGCCTCGTCGTGGAGATTGACAAACGTTGCGCGAAGGGGATTGGCATGAGGCTTCTGACCGACATTGGCGCCACGATCGAGAGAGAAACCCCAAAGGAGGCGAGGAAAAAGTCGAAGGGACCCCAACCCGATCAGGAGACTGAGGTGTCCGCAGAACAGGGGTCGAGGGAGAAGGGGACGCTCGTTGAAGAAGGACCGGGTGAGGAGGCCTCAGTGCGGACAGATGCTGGACAAACCGTGACTGCAGGAGAGAGCACCAAGCCCGAAGATGCAACAGGGCCTTCAGCGGAGCACCAAATGACCGGTGCAGCAGACGTGGCACAAGCCCGTGACCCTGCACTGGCAACTGCTCTCATAGTATTGCCTGCAGGTGGCTCTGTCGTACCTTTTGCAGCAACTGCCAAAGGGCGAGAGGGTTCGCAGACAACGAAAAAGTGAAGGTTGACGGAGTTGGAGAGTACACGCGAGGACGGCGAGTTGTCTCATCGTCAGGCTGTCACTTTAGAGACTGGCGAGATCCAGCAGGCGTCGGGGCAGACTGGCAATCCTGAAAAGGATGAAGCGGCACAGAGCCCAGAGTCCAGCAGAGCCACTGCCACCGGGAAGAGACGCACGAGGGCGAAGGTTGGTGGCGAGGAGGTCGTGAGCGCCCGCACAGACGTCGTGGTCGGTCTTCCCCAGACTGGTCGGACACGCGGTGGAAAATAGTTCTGCCGCATTTTGGCCAACGCGGAAAGAACCATATAGGGCTATACGGCGCTGCAGTCACAGGCTAATGTGCGCATTTATGATATAGGGCTATAAGCCCCATCTCAGTTGCCTGTTTGTTTGCATTCCGTCGTAATATTTCGTCCTCCAGGTTCAGGGAACCATATAGGGCTATACTGCGCTACGCGGTCACAGGCTGTTGTGCACATTCACTAAGTAGGGCTTTTAGCCCCACATCAGTTGCCTGTTAGGCTGCAATTCGTCCAAACAGATTTTAGCCCTACATAGTTTTCCCTAGACAGTTATAGCCCTACATCCCCCTCCCGCGATGGTAAGTAAAGGGCGAGGAGCAACCAAGTTGATGTCGAATGATGATTGCCATGGTACAATCCGGCATGAAAGCCGATGTAGGATCGAGATCGGTCCACGTAGCAAGGATAGCGCCCCTCGGAGGTTCTTCTGAGTAGAGAAACCAGGCTTCATCAATCGACGAGTCTCTTGATCGCATCGCCGATAGAGTTGGAGGTTGTGTGGGCTTGTGCTGCATTGTCTGTAGACGTGGCCTGAGAGTGGCGGTGCTCTTCTCTTTTGCTTTGTTCGGCTTGTCAACGTGCTGCATGGTCAGTTTTGGAGGTCCCAGTTCGAATGGTGGACCACTTTTCAGGCATGTTGTTTCTCTTTTTTTGCCAGGGTGGCGGAATGACTGAGAAGCGGTCTGGTGATGGCTAGTTCTGCTTCTGGACATAACCCGGACGCCAGCACCTAAACTGGGTAATGGCCCTAGATTTTCTCCGGGTTGTTTAGAGTGGGATAGTCTTAGGCAGAGGTGGGAACCAGGGCACTCGGTTATGTTTGGGTTCCAGCCGCAGGAGGCAACAAATGGGTGGTGGATTGAAGAGTGGCACAATTTATGAGGAATGCGAATTCCAATCAGCCATTCATAGGCTGTTTGCGGGCCGAGAGTAGGCCTGTTTTAGAAGGTCTAAGTAGGTTCTGGTAGGCTAGTTCAGGAGTGGTTCTGGTAGGTGCAGTCGATTTTGCTAGTTCAGGGCTGGTAGGTGCTTTGACCAACTTTGCTCGAGGGTTTTCTCACTTTGTTTTTTTAACTTTTCAGATTATTCTTTTCCATTTCTCTCGCCGCGGCAGTTTCTTCCTAACACTCCTTTTTCTGGTATTATAATTGACTGATTGCAATCGATTTTGTGCTCAAATGGTTAATTGATTGATGGATTAGGCATTCAATAGTGAAAGCATCCGGTTGGAATTGCATATCGTTGCCTCGGTTAAAACAGGCATGCAGTTTTCGGTTTCCATTTGTTCGCTGTAGCATCTCGGAAAAGATAAGCTTGTAGGTTAAGAATGAATGCAGCAGACAAATGAGAGAGAGAGAGAGAGAGAGAGAGAGAGAGAGAGAGAGAGAGAGAGAGGGAGAGAGAGAGCGAGAGGGAGAGAGAGAGAGAGAGGTTTGATGAGACTCTTGACACATGTGGTGCTCTACATCCGGAGAGTGGTCGTAATGTCTGTTGTCATGTTTAACTATTTTCTTTCTGGTATTTGTGCTTTTTATCTGCCTTGAATTTGTTGTTTCTTTACCTTGCTACTTTCTGGCTTTTCCTTTTCCTTTGTTGTCTAATACTGTTTGTATGCCCACAAGCCTTCACTTCGTTGTCCAACCTTTGTGGCTTGCTCCCTGCCCACACGCCTTCACTTCTTTCCTGCTTCAAAATGGTATGTGGTCCTCTAAAGGATACTGAAAATGGTTTTTAGTCCGCTCGGCCTGAATTCGCGAATGTGACAGTTGGGAGAGGGTCGGTATGACTGGAGTCCAGAGAACCCGGGACTCCGGTCCTCTCGACCCTCTAATAACTGGCACATTAGTTCGTGAAGAGCTTCAGTGTCTGGGCCGGCAGCCGTTCAGTGTAGGTCGTTATCACAATCGCTCGGGTTTTTAGCAGAGTTCAGTGTAGGCCTTTACCACAGTTGAGGCTAGTGACAGTGATGGTGGTCCTTTGGTTGTCGGGGATGCGCACTATGGGAAGTCAAGGGCCGATGGGAAAGCAAAGAGAGACACGTACCTGGTGTTTGCTGGCAGAGGATCGGGGATGCGCACTGTGGGAAGTCAAGGGTTGTTGGGAGACCAGAGAGAGACTCGTACCAATTCAGACAAGTGTCTGGGCCGGCACCAGTTAACCTGCCCAGCTGTGGTACAGACCTAAACTGTTGACGACACAACAGTAGTAAGCCCCCGAGTACCACAGTTGTGTCGTCAACAGTTAAGCTGCCTGACTGCTGCCGGCCAAGGTACCTGTCTGAATTGGTCCTGCATCATGTAAGCACTTTGGCCCAACTTGAAGCTGCTGGCCGTTATCACAGTTGCTCGGGTTTTTGCCAGAGTTCAGTATGGGCCTGCACCACAGTTGGGCTGGTGAGGGGGATGGTGGTCCTTTGGTTGTCGGGGATGCGCACTGTGGGAAGTCAAGGGTCGATGGGAGAGCAGAGAGAGACACGTACCTCGTGTTTGGTGGCAGTCTGCATTAGGGATGTCGTCAAGTACATAGGTCTACAGCTCGAAATGACTCCTGTTGCATGAACGTGGTATAAGGCTAGAGTGGTTGATGATT